AGTGTTCCATGATTCATTGTTTGTGCATAACACCCAGTGCTCCATGCACAATGTGCCCTCCTCAATACCCATTACCAGGCTAACCCATCCTCCCACCCTCTTTTTACTTTTTAAATGTGGCTACTAGAGAATGTAAAATTACACACTTGGCCTGCATCGTATTCCTACGGCATAGCCTTGGGCCAAAGAGAAGGTTCGAAGACTTTCCTCCATGGCAGCACTGCAGTTTCATTGCTTTGCACCATCGTCAGAAGAGGGACTAAAGGGTAGCAAAACCACCTTCTCAGTAAACAGAGTGGGACTTATGCAAAGGTGTACTGTGTCCCTTCTGACCTGGACACTTGGGAAGGTCACACGCCCGTGCTGGCAGGCTGTCCACTTTCACATAGCTTCTGCTTTCTCTGGGAGCCACCTTCAAAGCCTGGGGCCCCTTTTGGGAAAAAAAAAAAAAAAAACCAACTCAGAGCTGGCAGATCTTCATCCTCCCAGGAAGGATTTGACTTCTGGAAAGAACCCAACATCCTCTGAATCCAAGTGTGGTGAATCAGGTGGGGCCACGAGCTCAGGAATACCATTTTTGGTCAAATACAAGGTATGACGACGCTCAGACACAGGCAGATTGTTTGGGGTGGCTCATGAACTGGCCCCAAAGTGAATTCCAGGGCGGCCACGGGAACAGCTTCTCTGGAGGAAACGTGCCGCCCTACCAGGGCACCAGCATGTGAACACCAAGGTGGAAGCAAGCGTTCTCGGTTCTTCACAGTGGCAGCTCACAAAGTATACATTTTTATTTCATTCTTTTTAAGATTTTATTTATTTGAGAGAGAGCATGAGCAGGGGAAGGAGCAGAGGGAGAGGGACAGGCAGACTCTGCACTGAGTGCGGAGCCCAACGCGGGGCTAGATCCCACGGCCCCAAGATCACTACCTGAGCTAAAATCAAGAGTAACCGACTGAGCCACGCTGGCGCCCCTAAGTCTACATTTTTAAAAATGCCCTTGGTCCCAAGCTTTATGCTTAAGGCTGTAACAAGCCTACTGAACTTACCAATACTTAGATTAACTAGTGTTACCAATAGCAACACTGTTATGAATACTTGGAATACAATAAAAAGACGGGGCCTGAGGGTGGGGGCAAAAAGCCTGATTCTATCAGCAATTAGCTACACTTTGGGCCCATCTCTTGACCTCCTGGAGACTTGATGTTCTCATGAACCAAACAACAATAATATTTATTTGAAGCTATAATGCATTTAGGCTTTTTTTTTTTTAATGGCCATAAGGCCATATATAACAAGAGCCATAAAAGTGATTATATCCTTTGACCGAATAACTCACTTCCTAGAATTTACAGTAAGGAAACAATTCAAAACAAGAAAAAAGGCTTCAGGTACAAAAAAGTTCACGGTGGTGCTATTCATGATACTGAAAAACAGGAAGCAACTAAAGTATCCAACAATAAAGAAGCAGTTAACCCAATTATGGCACATCATGGCATATTCCCCCTTCCCTAAAATGGCAAATATAAACAATGCATATCAGGTCAGTGGAAAGTCTTCGCAAAGTAACGTTCGCTGAAAAGAGACAACAATTATATGAACACTGTGACTGCCACCATGTATAAACTTGATGTCATTGGCCAAAGAGCCAAACAGGCTAGGAAGACGTGAATCATCGCCGTAATCATCACCGTTCAAGCGAGGACTCCCGTATTAGACAGCACAGGTGTAACAGGAGAGTGGTTGTGCAAAGGTTCTGGAAAACACAAAATGCCCTACACAGATTGTGTATGCTTTACAACTCTTATCTAGTTTTCTCTGCACCCCTGCGCTTGACTTCCCAGCCTTCCTGCCAGTGTTTCTGGGTCTTCCATTCCTGAGTACAGAAGTCACATGAGTCCTACTCATCCTTCAGATCTCAAGTAGGAGGCAGTTGCCCTCAGACTCCCTGTGCGAGGCTGTGCCTCCCCACCCCCCACCGTGGCTGCAGCAGCAGCAGCAAGGAATGTATCATTTGCCAGATGTGCATGACACCTCACAGTGAGCATCTCATTCACTTCGCAACTACCTGGGGAGGCAGGTATTACCAATGAGGAGGAAGAAACTGAGGCTTGGAGAGGTTACGTGGCCTGCCCAGGGACTACGTGGCTGATGAGAGGAAAAGACAGGCTTCAAACTGGCTGGCTCCTCCACAGCCTGAGCTCTTTCCCACTAGGTCAATGGTTTTCAAAGTGCAGGCTGTGACCCATCAGTGAGCCATGGAAACCACTTAGGGGGCTGCAAGCAGCAGTTTTTCCTTTTAACTTCATTAGCCAACACTTGATTTAATTAAATAAATGACAATAGAAAATATTACATTAGTGGGGCACCTGGATGGCTCAGTCGGTTAAGCATCTGACTTTTGATTTCAGTTCAGGTCATGAGCTCAGGGAAGTGAGATGGAGCCCCGCATCGGGCTCCGAGCTCTGAGCGCAGAGCCTGCTTAAGGATTCTCTCTCCCCCTCTCTCTGCCCCTGCCCTCCCCCCACCCACTTGCTCACAAGCTCACTCTCTCTCTTAAAAAAGAGAGGGAGGGAGGGAGGAAGGGAGGAAGGGAGGAAGGGAGGGAGGAAGGAAGGAAAAATAACACATTAGTAAGGGTCAGTATTGTATCCTGAAGCTTTTTTTCAGTTACATCCATTTACATCCAACTATGTGTGTTCTGGGCCAAAATTCAAAACGAATTTCTTATTATTTTGAGAAATAAGGAGTCTGGAGTCTAATGTTTTTTACTTGCTCCACTATAAGGCCCTGGAAAGCAGGGGCCCTGGGCCCACCCTGAGTCTGTTCCAGGGCCTGACTCAGACATGTGGTGAATGATGAAGCCTATGCCTGTTTCCCACCTGGAAAGCAAGAGCAGATGCCTCAACCAACTGGCTCATTTAACAACGAGGGGTAGGAGTGGAGAAGCACGGGGCTTGCTTAGGCTTTCCCAGTGAGTCAGGGCAGAGCTGACTCTCCTGCGGTGTCTCTAGCCCTGCGGTGGGCCTGACTCGCTTTAAGAGCAGGAGCAGAGGTTTTTAGATGTTGGGGAAATCTCATACCCTTACCAGAATTTAGTAAAAACCATTTACTCATCTATTACCAAACATGACAAATAATTTCATAAGGTTACTAAAACCCCTGAGGCTCATCCCTGAATGCCAGACACTAGTGGTCTGAGACATTCATTCATGGGACACATACTGAGCACCTACTGTGTGTCAAGTATTATTCTAACTCCCACCATTGGAGTTTTCATTCAAATGGAGGCACTCACACACATACAAATGGAATATAATGTCAGAGCTGAGTATTATGAGAAAATATAAAGAGGGAGTATGATTTTATATGAGGTGGTGAGAGGAGGGCCTCTCTGAGAAGGTGACATTTCAGCAGAGGCAAAACGGAAGCACAGGAACATCATTTAAATATAGGCTGGAGTACCCCAGAAACGGCGGGGATAAGGTCCTGAGGCAGGAATGAGCTTTATGATCAAGGAGAACAGGAGAGTGAGCAAGCTGTGTAGGGCCAGTAGGCCATTATAAGGCCTTTGGCTTCTCCCCTAAGTAAAAGGGGAGCCACTTGAAGGTACTTAGCAAAGATGGCAGGGTCTGACTCATTTTAAAATGGTCCCTCTGGGGTGCCTGGGTGGCTCAGTCGGTAAGCGTCTGCCTTCCGCTCAGGTCATGGTCCCAGGGTCCTGGGATCGAGTCCCGCATCAGGCTCCCTACTCCACGGGAAGCCTGCTTCTCCCTCTGCCTGCCACTCCCCTTGCTTGTGCTCACGCTTTCTCTCAAATAAATGAATAAAATCTTTAAAAAGTAAAAAAATAGTCCCTCTGGCTGCCACTGTGTTGAGAAAAGACTGCCGGGGGACAGGAGTGGGAACGCTGATACCAGTCGGGAGGCTGCTGTGAAACAGTCCAAAAGCCATGCCTCCACTGCCGCAGTGGGGGTGATAAGCTCCGGGGTTACGGATATAGTTTGCAGAAGAGCCAATGGCATTGCTGACGTAAAATATGAAAGAAGTAAGTTAAAAATAATCCCTGAAGGTGAAACTATTCTGTATGCTACTGGAATGGTGAATAACAAGACATTAAGGATTTGTTAAAACCCACAGAACTTCCCAGCACAAAGAGCAAACTTTAATGCATGCAAATGTTTAAAAAAAATCATTTAAGAGGTCAGGATATCCCAGAATGGAACACAGAATGTGACATTCTGAAGCTAAATGTATTACAAATGCATTAAACAACTTTACAGCAAGGGCAGGGGGAATCAGGTGCAGACCTCAGTAACTTTGGAAATGAGTGGAGTCTGTAGGACTTAAGGTAAAAGGAACTGCATGTGTACAGTATTCTCTAGTTGATAGTTACTTCCCACAGGCGGCAGACGTTAACAATTCTGAAACCACTATATATGTATCCTGAAATTGAACAGCTGAGTACATTGATGATAGATGGTGGGAGCTAGATTAGTCACAGAAGGAGTGGGAGGTTACAGATAAACCAGAGGAGACTAGAAAGATCCATGTGGAACTGATGAGAGTTGCAGATACGAACTCAGATTTAGCTTAATATAGATACACGTAGCTACACAAAGAAATATTTACAGATATGTGTGTATATATACACGTTAGTATACACACATCTGTCTCTTACACTGAGGGTCTAGAAACATGGGCATCCCCGTAGCAATGATCACACCTACCAACCAAGTCTTGGCATTTAGTACATTCTCCAATAAAAGGAAGCAAGTCTCCATGGAGAAATGTTTAATTCTAGGACTGAGGCATGAAATATACAGGATGAGCCTGGAACAGAAAGTGGTAAAACACACACACACACACACACTCTCTCTCTCTCTCTCTCTCTCTCTCTCTCGCTGGTGCATGTCAAAGGGATAGAGGAGTGCCCAATGGCCAAAGCTGGAGCACTCTGAGCAATAAAATACAGAATTACTGGATTAAAACCCAAAGTATGAAAATAAATATCTGAGCCCATACTGATATAAATAATTGAATAGGTAAATAAATAAATGGGCGAGAGTTAACAAATTTCCCATGGAGAATTCCACATAATTTATGCAGATACTCAACCTTTAAATGTGAAGCATGATTCCACACTCTTAAGTGTGGGCTGTATGTAATGACTTTATTCCAAGACTACAATATGGAAAAGGGGAGGAAGGGAAGTAATTTTACAGTGGAAAAGCTTGACTATTTCAAGCTAGTGATCCAAGTTAACATCAAGGGACAACTTATATTGATAGTATGTGCCCTTGATGTGATGTGATGAGAATG